TTCAGTTGCCAGAAAACACAGTGTCTCTGGTTTATTGATAATAAGTATGATATTGATGTGTTTTTTACTGCGAGAGAGTATAGCCATGCTACTGGATGTGAAGGATGAGACAGTTTCTCCATGCCCTGAAGGACTGGCACAATAAAAAATGTGATAATAAAACTAGATTTAAAGGGAATTTAAAACCTATTAATTTATCACGGTTCATCTTCATCTTTTATTGATCTGAAAAACACTCTACTGTCCAAAAAACAAAAGCCTGAGAAATGGTGCTGAATCAACAGCTCCAAAGTACCATCACAACTGTTGGTAGTATGAAAATATTAACTATTAGACAGATAATACTCAAAGTCTTAGGTTAAATTTCATCTCAGTGGAACTTCTCTGCCAGCAGCTGGCTGTAATATACATTTTTTCTAAGCAGTGAAACAACAGGTACATCCCATTTCCCCACCATCAACAACATCTAGCACAAACAAATATGTATACATAATATATATTAATTATATATAATATACATTATATATTAATTATGTATAGTATACATGGTAATGTAATATATATTATTAATCTAATGGTATTATAATAACATATTTTGAAAGTTGGATTCATTAATACTTATATGTCACCTTCTAGTAATAGGCATGTTGTAGTCTAAGCAACAATATGTAATCTATACCTGAATCTGATGCTGAAATTTACTGAGTACCTCTTTATTGAATTTGAATATTCATATTTTATTAAATCAAAGATCTAGATGAAACAAACCTGCCCCTTTCACCTTGTGGCATTTTATTTTTCTGCCGTTCTTCTCATAAGGGACTGGTGGACTGTACTAAGAGATAAAACAAGACAAAACTGAAATGATAAGCTTGATAAATGGAAATACTTTTAAAGTGGAAAGCAGAACTACTCTGTGGAACTCATTGCAACAGAGCATCACTGATCATAAGAGTTTATCAAGGGTTAAAGTTTAAATATCAAAAAAGGAGAACAGTCATAAATTCATAGGAATTTGAAAAAAAATACACTGGAAGGAAAGAAGACTCACCTGCATTAGGCTGATTTCCTCAAAAAGAGTAGAAGAAATATTCCCCATGAAAGTATTATTTTGTTAAGTTTGCACTTTAAATCTTCAGTCAAAGAGCCCCCGATCCCTAGATTAGTGTATACTCTAAAATATTTTAAGATAACATTTTTCATTGGAAATTGCAGGACACAGATGTCAGCTTTAAGGGAGAATTTACTTATGAAGCACTACTGGGATAAATATTAGATAATTTTAGCAGTGAATTTCTGTTCTCTTCAATTATCTAGTTTTAATTTCCGATTGGAAAATTTTCCCAACAGGATTTTTTTTTAAAAGATAGTATTTTCCTCTACCTCTTCTTCATATTAAATAAAGATTCGTTAAATAAAGATGCAGAGTTTGTCAGAGAGTTAGGTCTATGAGACAAGTTACAGACCGTTGACGGACAGCATTTTTATTTAACACACGTCTTCAGTGTAGTGTGCAAATTTTGTGAATAGTGAACATGAAGTGGAACATTGGTAAAGAAGGAGAGAAGAGAAAAAAAATCAGATCTCACTTGACTGTCCAAGGGTTTTGCTTCCTGTTCATATGAATGTATTTGCAAGCATATCCGTGCAATCTTAATTCTCCACCAGCATAGAAACATTTCGGAAAGAAAAGTCAGAAGAGGAAGAGAACAAGAGTTTGAATTTTTTTTTCCTTCTAACCTTCTAGGAAGAAAGGAAAATATCACTTGCTAAATATTTTATTATACTTAACGAGGTGCGAGGTGCAAGATGCAAGTGTTAGCTTATAAGGATTGCAACCAAATTTTTAAAATTATGGCGTACAAAAGCACAATTCAAATTGTGGTAGGTAAATTTTTGGTATCTATCTATATTTGAAGGCCTTTAATACTCATCCTTCTCTGACAAAAATTCAAAGTGTCTTTCAAAGGCAGCAGGTGTTAGGAAAGCATGAGTGATGTCTGTGGACATAGAAATGAGCCAGGGAAAACAACCTGTTCTGTGAAGCTGATCAATGTATTTGTCTGATATAAACACTTAGAAATTAATACCTGGAAATTTTAAGAGCATTATGTTGTAAACTGCCCTACGCTGTGATGAAAACATTGCTGTTTTGATATATATTTATCGTATAGAGTAAACTGCAGAACAGGATGTTCCTCTTTATAGCAGGCAAATGACAGCTTTCAAGTTAAGAGAAGCTTTCTTTGGGAGACACTTTATTAAGCCGTGTGTTTTTATGTACTTTGAGTAGAGAAGAAAGTAACAGCAATGCAACTATGAGAAGGTGATAATGGAAGACTTGATAAACTGGACTGTGGCCGTACATAACTGTATGGAACCATTCACTTTCTTTTAAGTATAAAGAATTAAGAGAGGTCCATCATGTCTTCCACTTCCCTCTTCTCCTGCGTCTCAGAAAGGAAGGGTGATATACCTAGGCTTGTAATGCTTCCTGACCTCTGATAACAAAGCGTTTCTTTGGGTTGGAGAACTACAGATATCCAGATACATATATATAAATATACAGATATATTTGTTCTCACTGTCTTTGATGAATCTGTACCGGTACAGTTTTTCTCATTTTTAATCGGAGATTGAAAACTTTCCAAAATCACCGTTAGAGTAACAAGCCTATCTGCTCTCTTAATTGTTTCTGTATTATAGAAGCTGTATTAGTGTCTCTCCACTCCCTGGTGCTCACTTCGGTTGCCTGGTTAAATGGCCTCCAGTAGCTTTCACAGTTCTGATGCGCAGGCCTTTAAGTCCTAGAACAGCCTCTCTTTTAAGTTGCTTTAAAAATTAAATGGAAAAGCAGGATAATTTATGAAAGCACTAGGCTTTCTCTTAAGGCAAGAAACAAAATATTGTAAGTGCTGAATTAACTGAATAAAGCAGCAGTTTGTTCTTATGCCAAATTATCAACTAATTCCTTATTTCTTATTAAAAAGTGTTGTGCAGTACATTAAAAAAAACACTACAAATGAAAACAATGAATATTTGTTTATAGCACTGATCAACATCTGTGCTGGCATTTCCGCAAGACACTGGGTTCTCTCATATTTTTAAATTCACAAACTGCTCTTTGCCCACAGAGTTTATGATTGACAGCTGGTAGCTGTGCAATGTATTTTGGAATAAATGCAACTGACAGACTGTGGGTGGGAAGCACATATCACTGGCCATTCCCTGTGTACATATATGAATACACGTATGAATAACACAATATTTAAGGTAATTTTTTTTCCTATTGTTTAAAATTAAATTTAAAAGTCTGAATGTGAGTATAGAAATAAAAAAGGATCGGTTTCTCAGGTGATGCAAAATGTGTTAACTCAACTAATCAACAATAGAGCCAATAGAAACATGTTGATTTAGATCAACTGAGGACTTGATACTACTGTAAATATCGGGAGTCACAGAAAGATATGAAGAAACACCACTGCAATTTAAAAGATTTACTGTTTTGTCTTCTCTATATAGAATGAAAAAAACTTTGATTTGGTGTTCTATTGGGTTTATACAGCAGCTAGCAAAATGGTTTCTTAGGCTCTGGCTGCGGTCTGCAAGGTGACAGACTGTGGGTGGGTAGTATATATAGCTGGCCAATCTCAGCATACTGTCCACGTACAAACAACACAAGTAAATAATCTGGATCTTCTTTCAAGGACACCAGCAGGCCATCACTAAGCTAAAAAATGTGTTATACAGTATTTAAAGCATTTCCAAAAAGAAAAAACAAGACATGGAAAAAAGGAGTTTGGGCATAATTGATATAAGAACCTATTGATAAAGAACATCCAAACTATAATGTTAAAGTTAAGTAAACTTTACTTAATGAGATGCTTCCAATGGAGTGATTGCTATTTGGCAGTTCACTCCAAACACACGGAGTGGAGTGGGCTCTGCAGGTCAGAACCTACACTTAGTAGTGTACTTAGTAGCAGTGGACCCATTTAATGAAGCTATGAGGCAAAACTTTCTCTCCTCTAACCAAAACAGAGATAAAATGGCTCTGATGATTATATTGCTCAGAATACCCAAAAAGCTGCCCCGAGACAAATCATTTTCTTGGAAATCCTCTCTTCTTTGAAAGGTCAAATATAAATCTTGTAAGATCTTAAAAACTCTGTGTCACGTTTAGTTCCAGAATGCTGACATTTCATCTTACTACGGAAATTGCTTTTTAAAAAAATTCTATACTTGGAACCTGAGCTTTCAGATTTTAGCATGACTTTTATCTGTTTGTGCACCATTTTACCAAAAAAAAAAAAAAGTCACCAAGAAAATACTGACAGAGCATTGTGAAGAAAGCTGTGTTGCTTTTAGCGTCCATCAAAATAATTACGAGAAGGAGGTGGTTTTCTGTCCCTCTGCATAGAGCAAAAACTTTTTAAATATTGCCACCGTTGCTCAGGAAACCTGAACTTAACTGCTCGAACCCATGAACACTCAAACTGAATAACCATTTCTATGTTAGAATTGCAAAGGGGTCTCTATTACAAAGCTATCTTACAATCACATTATATTTTACCTAGTTCATGCTCAAGTAGAAGATCAGGGACAGTTTAGTTTGTAACTTCACTCACCTTTTTGCTTCTTGAAGTGAACTGCCACTGCTCTATTCTAGGAATTCTCTAGGGATACCCAGTAGGATACAGGGTATTGAAGCTAGCTAAACCCTTTTGTGTACAAGCAAGTCACCCTATTGTAACTCTTATCAAAATTAAGATCTGTATAAGAATGCTATAAACTGACTGTGTGAGGTGCCTTATAAGGGAATGAGCTTGCAACTAAACCAGTTTTTAAATGACTTATATTAAATTTGGAAGTTTTTTATATCTTTTCTTCTTGAAGTAGACACGCTAATGTCCTTAACACCCTCAGTTCACATGAGCGTGGATATTACTGGGAATAATATCTTTCCAAAGTAAAATAAGATAATATTGTTCTTTCCTTAGTCACACATTAATAGACACAGAAGTCCATGAAGTCTTTTCCAAATGGCATTGCTCCATAACAGCAAATAAAAGTCTGGCTCAAGAATAGCTGTACTTGTATTTGAGTTCTCTCCCCAAGGTAAGTACGAGAACCACATTCACATATTAACCTGAATTTTTTTGTCTCCCATAATAAATCCCATGATTATGGATCAAATCTCTTTAGCTAACCCTGACTAAGTCCAACCTCTAATAAATAGTGATGTCTACTTTTTTTTACTTACTGGCTGCTTTCAGCATGCTCCTTTCCATTGGTAGTTAGCTTGCAGTAGATTACTGGAGTACTACACAAAATCTCTGGATAAGGTTTTTTGCAAGAGAATATTTTATTTAATGGAATTTCCTAATGGCTAGCAGCAAGAAATGTTATGATGGAACAATCAGTTAAAATGTACTGATTCTTAGGCATCTTTTTAAAGATCTGAATCTTATTACTGAATCTTTTTAAAATTCAGAGGTTAACAAGAAAACCTGCAGTTAAAAAAGTTTTGGTAAGACACCATAGTTCTGTTTTATTGCCTTCTGTTGCACATAACAAAGGTGTATGTACCTCCCTTATAAACAGATTAGAATGAAACTGTCCTGCATGCATCTTCAGAATGTACTGTGTATGCTTGTGGGGAATTGTAACTTGAGCTTTGTGCTGATAAAGTATGCTGATGTAGGAAAGGTCTCTAAAAGCTAAGATAAAAGTTATATTAGCAAAATTGTGCTTCTGAGTACAGCCAAAAACGAATCATTTTTTCAAGTATTCCAACAGAAGGCTCTATTGTGCTCAAGGCTGAATAAAGTTTTAGAGAGAACAGGGTAGTAATTTACAGAGATTCTATTCTATGTATATTTGATTCCTTAGCTGCAAACACCGGAAATGTAGCCATTCCCTGAAAATTCTAATTCTACTTAAATTATACCATACATGTCTTTAACAGGCTGCCTGTCCCACAAAATACCAAAATTCTGGGATTAATCAGACCTGTTCAGCTCCCCCATCCAATCTGTGCATGATTTAAGAGGTAATGACCTCTAGGGGAAGAGGGTAGTTTGCTCCTGTAGGAAATTGGATGAAATAAGGGCTGACAGGCTGTGGTTTGTTGATGGATCTGAGCCAGTTATGTTGGATGCGATGATGAGATAGTTGGTAAGCTAATGAAAATGGTTTTGGTCTTGATCTTCTGCAATGGGTTTGGGTTTTTGGATGCTGGGGGGGTCAGGAGACGGTGGCAGCAGTGAAGACAAACTTTGTGAAGAGGTTTTTAAGAAACAGAGAAGAAAAAGTGCCTTCTAGAAGCTGCAAGCTGGAAAGAGAATGCAAGAGGTGGAACAAGAGAGAAAATGCGACATACCGATGAGAATAATGGCCAGTCAGGAACATTGTAGAATACAGAAGCCATAAAGCACGTCATCACATCTGTGCCCTCCTTGTTGAGAAAGCACTAAAAGCTGCTGGCGGCACTACCAAGGGCAGGAGAGGCAGATCTTTGCCACCATTCAGGGCAGGGCATGAAGCTGAACTGGGAAGACATCTGAGCACTTCTGACTCAGCAAATAGAGAAAGTGAAGTAAGGATAAAAAATAAGGGCAAAAACTTTCTTTTCATTTAAAAAGTTAATTTTAAATTGGCAGGGGAAATGGGCTCTGAATTTGTAGAGACACCTTTCATGGGTGCTAACTCATTCAGCTACAGAAAGGACTTGAGAGGTGTGCTTTCTAATTAACAGGCATGAGGTGGAATTGGCTGCTTTACATGAGCTCTGACAGAAGACCCAGAAATAAGGTGCTAGTTGGAATCAGCCTTACTGTGCCAGGTGGCTACACTAGAAGGTGAATGGTATTAAACTCTATCTCTGGATAGCTGGTATGCGAGATGTAATCTGAGAGACAAAGGCCAAATAATGGAGCAGCTGAGGGGGCTGGAAACCATCTGGCAAGGAATGTGTTTTGTGCTATAGGACTTGGCCTGGTTTTGAACAAGATTTTCGGAGGGAAGTGTATACTAGCTAGCTAGCTTTGTGGGTCGTGAGGTCTCAGACTAACTGTTCAGCTGATTGTGCTACCTCACTACTGTGGTGAACTTGAGAGAGAAAGAAACTCAGGCAGTAAGTGGCTTGTGGGTGGCTGGAGGAGGAGGGTGAAAATTATCAGACACATTTTGCGTACAGTCTGTCTAGCACTTATCGTACGCCATGGGGTGCTGAGGTACGCTACTTACTGTATGGTATTCTGAGAGATGCGGCTGCCCTATGCAGTGAAAAGATTGAAAAAAAACCCCATCTGAGGTTCTTTGTAGTGAACAATGTCTCAGTATGCATCTGTATAACCTGCAGCGCAAGCTAACAGCATTAAGTAATGGCTACGCTATTTACTATGATGAAGATTAATGTTAATGTTTTATCATATTCCTTTGATAATTCATTCCAGATAAAAACTTATGATTCACTTCTCTTCTGGTACAAATTGATCAAGGCTATCCTGTAATTGGCTGAGTTCATCAAGTTCAGTGCTTACATAAAATAAATTGGCGTGATTTCTTCCTTCTTTCTGTCAAATACAAAAAGTCCAAGAAATATGGCTGAAAGCAATTACATTAATGGCAAAATATGTTCTGCAATTGCTCAGTTGTTCTAATTTTGAAGGTAATTCAATGCCTTAAAAAAAAAAAGAAGTTTAAAAGATGAAATAATCTTTGGCAAATATCTCTTGACTTTTGACTTAATAACCTGCAAAGAGCCCTGGATTTGAAAGAACCTTTGTGATACAGTAGCAAAATGTCATGCTGGATCCTTTCCTTTAGAGATGTACTGAATAAAATCTTAGGCCTAGCAAACAAGCAGGATACAACATATTGTTTTTCTGTTGAGCTTAAAACTGAAATTACCATGACAATTGTCTGGGATACTGTGTAGATATATGTATGTGACTTGCCTGGGCTACCTCTGCAAATACATGAGCTTAGTTTCTTCTTGAGGTGCCTCTGTAAATCCAGTCATGGCTGTATCTATCACAGTGGATTTCTGTTAAGCAAACGTTAAGCATTTACAGTAATGACTTATTTTGCCTCCAAGTGGGATGCTGTTAGGAAGAGAAAAATGCTGATAAGGGTGCTGTGATGGGAAGGTTGTTATTTGAAAAAAGGTCTTGCATGCCAGTTGATAAAGCTAGAATGAGGGGAGAAAAGCCAGGGCTTTGCTGTTGCATATATATGTAATGAGAAGGAAAACACAGGTGATGGAAGCTACCTGTGAAAGGATGGGTGCATAGAAACCAAAAGGATGAGGCTAGGAGACATTATGTGTTCAATGATGAGAGCCCTTTAAGCACACAGCTGGAAAAGAAGCACAGCTGCTGAACAGTAAACTGCAATGCTGTAACTCTACCTGGTTGGGAGGAGACTAGGTTTGGTCTGGAGGTGTGGGGTTGTTGACTGGTTTGATTTTTTTTCTCTAAAGGGAAAATATTTTTTTTAACAGGTGTGCAAAGAAAACCAACAACCGTATTTGTTTTAATAACGTATTTCTAAAACTTTTCTGTTTGGAAAATCTGTCAAAGATGGCAAAGGGTGAGCTAAGTTGCTTGAGAGGTTTTTTTTTTTTTTTTTTAGTAACATGCTGCATGGTGAGAAGGGCAGAGGAAATACAAGGGCTTTGGAGTGTGTGAGGAAGGTATTAAAGCTCATTTTATGCTGAAGAAAAAGGAGAGATTAAAAATCTGTGTCTAAAAATGTTGACTTTTCAGAGCCGAATCTCTAACAGAGATTTAATGGCAGTTATCCAGCTAGACATTAAAGGAAAGGGCTAGCATGAAATATGGAGGATGACTACTGGTAGTTGAGGAGTGGTGATTATCCTGAGTTCTGCTAGGTAAAGCAAGCAGCCATGGAATGAACCTCTATAGATGAGCTGAAGTGATTCATTTTATCTGAATGCTTTTTTTTTTTTTTTAAATCCAGGTGTATGCCTTACTTGCTTAGAAGCCTGTCCCTTCCCTGTCACCTTCTATGCGTCTCGTATTTTGTTGGCAGTGCTGAACACTCCGAGACTCATCAATGCTGTGAGTGAATACAAAGCTAGCATTTGAAGTATGGTTTTTTATTTTCACCAAACGACTCTGAAAAATGACATCTGTAAGCTCTGTGTTCATTGTTTTTCTATGAATTCCAGCCCACGTTTTGAGGTATGCTATTTTGTAACTGCCAATCTGCAGATTCAGTCTGGGATATAACAATAGTGCTGTGATTTTTTTGTTTCCCCCCTCCCTTCTTGCTTATCACCTGGCACAAAGAGTCTGCAAGCCAAACTGTGATCATGAATATCTGTGCCTGAGGATAACTTGAAAGGTGTATCTGAAATGTGTTTCATAACAAAATTGATCATTACTAGAAAACTTGTCTCTAACTTGCATATTGACTATATTGGCTCCAAAGAGAGAAATGGATATTTTAAATGTCAAAAGAAGAATTGACTGCACAAAGGTTTATTGGCTACAGAAGTATATTTTATGCAATTCTATTCAAAATAATACTAAGGAATGCAGGGAAGATTGTATAGAAAAGAAGGACTTGACGCTTCAAAATATATGCTCACTAGAGAACTTTTAAGAAAAGTCACTAGGCAGAGAATTTTTAACAAGATGAACTAATGCTTGTGTGTTAATGTGCAGCATGTTAGAATATTTTATTTCTGTTATAAAACAAGTAGATGTGCAACTGAGAGAGGTATCAGCTGGCATAGGAATATAACATTTTTATCTCAACTTGCACATGCGTGAAGTAAGCACTTAACTAGACTTCAGCTGGCTAATGGTTCCTTGTAAACATGTAAGTGAATATACCTTTAAGTTTACGGGGGGAAAAATAGGAATTTCCTTAAATGTTTAATAGTGAGAGGGAAGAACATGTCTATTTTTCAATAAAATCTTTCTTGTTGTTGTTTTTTTAATACTAGGAAAATTTCTATGGTGTGGGCCAAATGGCTTGGGTATACTACTGCTGCTTCTGGTCCTGCCCCATTCACTTAGGTTCACCGCAGCCTCTCCTGAAGGTTTTGGAGTTAGGGATCCCTGTCCCGTAAATCATTAAACACTGAATTTCCACATTGATCCAATCAAAAATGATAAGAATAAGATGATATTGATCAGCATAACAAGCAGTGGTTGCAAATTCACTCTTTAGCCAACAAAGTACAAACAATCATTGCTTATCACTTATTGTAGTTCAATTAAAATGACCATATGGAATTTCTATATTGAATATATCCAGATGTGGAGAACTTTACCTTTTACAATAGCCTTTGTGAGTTATTATTTCTTATTGAACAGGACTTGAGGCTCTTGCCTGCTGATAAAAAGCTCACTGAAGTCTGTGGAAGGATTTTGTTAACTTTCCGAGGTTTTGAATTAGCCCTGAGGTTATCCATCCCACCCTTCTGGATGTTACTGACATCTTAAAACCAGTGGCTAAACAAGGTGTTTGACTACAGGTACCAAAGCTTTATGAATGGGCATATCCAAATTGAATGCCTCTGAAATCGCACAACTAGACACTCAGCTTGATCATCATCTGCTTTTCTTGCCAATTCAGCTACATTTTATAGGTGTTTTGAGAACCTGAAAGTCACCTGCCTTTGTACTGTACTCTGGTTATAGAGGAGAAACCCTACTGGCATACTTAATAAGCATTCAAGTCTTTCCTGTGCTTTACTCCTCTCTGTCCATGAAGATCCTTTCCTTAGATGCCTTCCTCAGCCTGCGTATTGAGCAGGAAATCTCAACTTTCAACCTGACACAGTTGCATGACCCTGAACACTGCAAAGCCTAATTACTTCTGAGAATCATCTCAAGTGCCTTGTACAGTGATCAGACAAGAATTCTGTGTCAGTACCGTAAACTGAGCAAAGGTCTCCTGAGTCTGAGTCTTAACTGCAAGACTTTTTCTGTTGATCCAGGGAACTTTCTGCCCTTGGATATGTAACTTTATAAAGTTTTTTACTTAATCAAAATTCTTCTATCTTTGGAGTTTTTAATCATAAAGGTCAAAAGCTTTTCATAACCCTCCTATCACTATTGCAAACCCAAATAGCGAATGAATTATTGAATACGTGTAGCTTACAGAATGAAATCTGCACCAGAAATAATATTTGACTTACTAATTCTTTGGATAGTTCTGAATTAAACAATGATTTGTAAAGCGGTTATAGGAGTAGTACAGAGGAGCCATAAGAATAAAAGCCCCAAAGGGGAGACAAATGCCCTGAAAACTTGATCTGATTCCCTCATTAAAATGTTTACATGTAATTACAAGATTGGATAAGGCACCAGAAGTCATATTACATTTTTTTAGACCTCATCCATCGAAGTGAATGACAGATACTTAAAATGTTTCAAATTAGACTTTAGGCACTGTTCTTCCCTTCTTGTGGTGTTTGAATATGTTGATATGAGGTATAAATTGCAGTCTTTGTTTACTGATGGCAAAATAAACCAGTTTATAAATTGCAAAATACAGTGACTTAATTCACCAATACTTCTGTCTTTGCTCCCTACTCTGTTTCACCTTATTTTCCTTCTATGTTTAAATCCATCATACACACCTGTACTGGTTTAGATATGTGTGAAAACAAAAAGGTATAAGGTAACCAGCCCTTTGGAAAATATGTGGAGTGTAGAATTTAATATAGCACATATGTGAGATGTTAATTTTCAGTGCTTTGTGCATTGGAACATTTATTTTTTAAGATAGTAAGTCATAGTACAAACTTTCATGCAGTGATGCAAATTTTGAAGTAGACTTGAAGAGAGTAAATGAATGGTTGAATGTTGAATCATAGGCTATATAATGTATCAGGAATTATAAAGACTTGTACCTTTTTCTAATGTACCTTCACAATAGGGTTGCAGTTTGGCTACTTTGATTCAATGAGAGAAGTTTCACTTCCTCCTTCACCTGTAACGACCCACGTCATGTAGCAAGGTGATTTGATGTATTACCCAGAGTTTCAGTAAAGCTTAACTAGCTTTGGGGGTGTGGAGGAATGCCTCCGCATACCGCTTTAATTCTGTTCACTGCTGTGAGTTTCCCTCTGCGAACTTGCCCAGTTCAGTTACTCAGAACCATGTCTGCTCACTTCTCAAGAGGAAAGTATAGCTGCTAGTGAGAACTGCATCACCAGTTTGGGTTGGTTCTCCAAGGAATGAAGGACAGAGAATACTGTGGTTCTCAAAAGAAATGAGGCATTTGTCAGTAGGATGGGAAATGCTGGTTGACTGAGCAGAATCAGGATTACTTAGGGTACTGTAGCAGCAAAATAGAATTTGGGTGAAGGAGCATAGGTTGGGAGAGGCGTCGGTGTGCCTTGAAAGTGTCTGGAGTAGTAGCTACAGTGTCTCTGCAAAAAGGCCTTTTAACAAAGAGCAAGTACAGCCTCCTTTCGTGTAATAACCTAACAGATGGCAAATCAAAGGCTTGTGTGAAGGGGCAGATGGAGTTCTGGAGGGAAAAGGAGAGTTCCAGAGCACAAGATATGTGGGCAGAGACTGGGAGAAACTAGGCAAGCAGGCAAGTATCCTTGTTGCTAATGGAAATCCAGATTTGAAAATGCATTAAAATAGCCAATTTGGTAGGATCAACAGAATTCATGTGCTGGAAGATGTGGGTTTTTTTGGATAGCAGAGATGGGAAGCTGTTATGGCAGATTTGGCTGCTACTGAGAACTGTCCAGCTCTTTGGGAGAACTGTGTGCTCTTGGTTTTGTTTCAAAATGTTGCTTTTGCCTGTACAACTATCTTCTTGTACTGTGTTGCCATAGATGTCTCATGGTGGGGGGTATGCAAAAGTTTGCTGTGGTGTACTGTGGTTCTGATCAAGCAGAACATGACTTACTCCTCTGGCAGGTTGTTCTTCTGCAAATTGCAGAAAAAATACCAGATGGGTACTTACTTTTTTGGCTCACATTTTTTGTTTTGAAATGTGTTGAAACATTTTTCTGAGAAGGACATGGTGCCATCCAGAATTTCTCTCAACCTAGTCTCTTTGATTTGACTGGATATGTGCCTAGTTCAAGGTTAGCCTAGCACATAGACTTGCCTAGCACAACTTGTGGATTTAACACCTGTTTCGTTTTTTTTTTTTTTTCCAATGGTAAGAAGGAAGAAAATTCACTTCATAATGACCCAAGGAAGGCAATGAGAGTTAAGTAAATTCTCTGTTACATAGACTGGAAGATTGCACTTGACTCCATCAGTTTGCTGAACGCTGTAAATATGGCAATCGGGAAGACTGATAAGTGAAACTACCATCTGAGACTGAAAACATCCCTTGGAACTGTGGATACGTAGATTAACTTAGGAGCTTCCGAGCTTCCTGCTACTTCATTGCTACCAAAAGTTTTCTTCATCATTCCTGGTGTGGGTTGTTCCAGAAAGTTTGATTAGGTATATAGTATTCATCATACTTATGATCACAGCTATTCAATTTGTGACTCCCTTTGACTGCCCAAATCCTAAATTAACACATTTAAAAAAAAACAAGCTGGTATAGCCAAAAGAGGAAAAATCAAAAATGGGCACATTAACGTTGCCTCTCATATTCTTATTTTCAGTTGCACAAGGATAAGAGCATCCAAATGAAGTAATAACATTTCTGAGGTAGAATGTATTCCAGGCAAGTTTGGCAGTCAGAAAGGGATGACTTCTAAGATAATGAAACACACATAAGGACTTTGCATTGCAATAGTCTATTCTTATTAATGAGTCTATCTCAAAATTATAATAATTGGCTCTTATCTTGAGTATTGCTGCTGACCTCCCTAACACTGGACGTAGTGATTAAGGGGCTTCTGCGGCTAGACGGATTGGCATTTCCTTGAGATACAGCTAAATGAAATGCCACAAATAAAGGGATAAAGCCAGACTGCTGCTTTTTTTGACAAAAAAAAATGAGGTGGATAAAATTAAAAAAAAAAAACTCCCTCTGTTTGCACCCAGGAATACTCAGCTATTGTTTGCTGTTTATTTTATAGTCCACCCTGACCCCACATCTAATTCTTGCTTGCTTG